CCCCCCCCCCCCCCCCCCCCCCCCGGGTTTTTGGAAAAATGGAGTGCCTCGGCCCCCCCCCCCCCCCCCCGGCGGTTTTGGCAGACATGGAGTGCCTCGGCACACTGCGCTGCAGGCGGTTGCCGCTTTTCAGGACCCTGGCCCAGTCGAGGGCTCGGTGGCCTGTGCGTCCCCTTCACAGCGGCAACCCGAAGCAAGCAGTAACAGCTCATCACCCGATTTCCAATTGCAAATTGTTGGCTGCGTTCAAAGACTGTGACGTTGGGTCCAATCTTGCATCCTGTGAAAGCAACCCTGATATCTTACCTCTACCTCTGCAGACCGACTTTTCCGTTGTCAGTACTCTTCACCTCTGATAACTCAGTCGTCACCTCGCAACCGACATAGGTACGACACCTGCAACGACCTAGGCAACTTGGGAAGTCCGTCCTTATCAAAGTCCCTTGTTGCCGCGATAAGCCTCTCCCACACGTTGTGGAGCCTTGTCTCGCCAGCCCCCCCAGCGGCCGAACCGGGTGACAGCATATCCATGGTTTAACAAACACGAACAATTCAACCTACAAACTAGATATCGACGATTTCACCATCTACGACAGAATTTGCGCGCTGCTCGAAATCAGATTGCCCGACATATCCCTCGGATTTGAGAATCGAAAAAAACAGATACGCCCAAGTCAACTGACCACATGAACTCCTCACAAAACGACAGAGCTCGAATTCGTCATCACAGATAGCAACCCGATAACAGAATCTCGCGGCGAAATAACAACCAAACTCGGCCCATTGTGCTCCATCGCTTAATCGAAAGACGGTAAATCGTCCGTCAGCTGTGATACCAGAGGATTTCAAGAAGCCATATTTCCGGCTACACTTCGGACCATTCATTCACCATGACAAGACCTAGGCGGTCATCCGCTACGAGCGAGGAGAGCGCGGGGACTGGGAGAGAGCAGGTATTAAATTCAAGAGTGGGATTGCGTTAGCACCTCTATCTAACAGACATTCTGGCCACAGGAACTGGGGAGCATGTACGATTACCTCGCAAAGATCATCCTCCTTGGGCCAAGCGGGTCAGGAAAGTAAGCATCTCTAACCCAATTCCACAACTCTGATCCCCATCTAACCGCTGAAACCCCAGATCCTGCCTCCTTCATCGCTTCGTGAAAAGCGAATGGCGCGTCCTCTCCTCCCAAACAATCGGCGTCGAATTCGCCTCCAAAATCATAAAAGTCGGCACCGGCGCCCGCCGGAAGCGCATCAAGCTACAACTCTGGGACACTGCCGGAACCGAGCGCTTCCGCTCCGTGTCTCGCTCCTACTACCGCGGCGCCGCTGGAGCCGTGCTCTGCTACGACATTACATCCCACAACAGCTTCTCCAACCTACAGCCCTTTCTCAACGACGCCCGCGCGCTCGCCTCGCCGAACCTGAGTCTCATCCTGGTGGGGAACAAACTCGACCTAGCCGGGGGCGGCCATCCCGGTGACGAAGAGGACCTGCTCGGCCCGCTGCCGCCACCTACACCAAGCAGTATCAGCGCGCATAGCATTCCGTATACAATTAGTAGTGTGCATACGGGGAGCGCGGGCGTCAGCGTGGCTGGGACGCCGTTGCAAGCGGGGAGCTACGCTTCGTCTACTACATCTACCATCCGCCCGGGAGACAGTACGAGTACGAGTTACGGGTATGGACTCGGGTCGCAGCTACAAGCTACGGTGGCGCCGGATGGACGAGAGGTTTCGGCGGTAGACGCGAGTCGATGGGCAAGTATGGTCAATGTACCAGTGACGATGGAAGTCAGCGCCTTCAGCGGCGAGGGTGTTGACGAGGTGTTTGGGAGACTGGCGAGGATGATCTTGACCAAGATTGAGTTGGGCGAGATTGACCCAGACGATCCGATGAGCGGGATTCAGTATGGCGATTATGGAGGTGGATGGAGCGGTGGTGCGAGCGATGGAGCAAGTATTAAAAGTTCCATGACCGGGGACGAACAGGGAACAAGAAATCGGAGGCGCAAGCCAAGGCGAGGAGTCCAGGGGTTGAGGGAGTGGGAGGAAGTCTTTACGCTCACCAGTGGCAGAAGGAGGAACAATGGTTGTTGTTGAATCTGCATGGGTCGATGTTTTGGGTCGTCATTTTTCTGGGAGAAGGCGTTTTTTTTCCCAGCCTTGCCTATGATACCATATGCGTCTTGCTTTTTCTTTGGTCTCAACAATGGCACATCCCTCGTTTTGGGAAACAGCGGGGGGCATGTTGACAAGTCAGGGCTTTATTAAGGAGTGTGAAAATTGGCGTCGGCGGAGCGGTTTTCTTGAGCCTTTGTTTTGCATAGCCTACCATTGTATTGACTTGTAGATTATGACATTTTTTTTGTATTTTCAAGCCTGGCGTTTACTGCTTGTAGACTTCGACATTTGTACCAAGATTTTTACACATCTTTTCTCTACCATGTATGGAGAAAGCTGAGCGCTTGATAACGGATCTTGTGTTTCCGGAGTGCGCCCATCCGCCTCAACCGGGATGGTACTTCTCCGGGAACGGAACGATATAACTTTTGGTCTTCAAAGCCATACATAATATCCGCACCTGTGATATCGCGCCTAATACCGTGCGAATGCACCTCTCCCATTGTCACACCAGGGTCGATTGCAACAATGAGGGTCGAAAGTCTTTAAAGGGCTGGGGCCAAATGTTGCTGAAGCTGGCCGTAGCCGCGCCCACACGGTGGGGATTTAGCCTACTATGTGAATAGGGAAGCGGAAGGTCTCCCTCCGCGCTTCAGGGGTCTTGGGCCAAGACTTCTCTCACGTTATCAGATCTCTGGACTTTATACAGTCTCGGCGTGTTGTTATCGCAGACTTCATTCCTGTTCAGTTGAAGAATCACAGGTCATGGTCATCAAGATGAAGAGTTGACAATCCGTTTGAGAAGCGCACACCGTCATGATGTTTTGGGTCGGTTCAACAGCTACGGCATCTGCGGTTCATAGCATAACGATACAGACACAAGATGCCTGACAGCTCCGAGAAGATATGCATATGTCAAGATGAAGCAGCCGCGTTGCAACAACGTCCCCGCTGTGCCTGCATCGCCAGCATGATGGATGGATTTGTAGGTACGTACCACTCATAGTCTGGTGTTTAGGTTCATAGAGCGCTACAAGCGTCATGCTTAGTGGGGTGTTCAGGGGTTCTCATGCAGCTTGCAGCTGGTATTGTACCATTCGTTCCCTCGGGATGTCTTTCCCCGCCAACTTGCAGAGCTTCGTGAGGAGGATGAGATCGATGGGACTAACAGCCCATCAAGGTACCCGGACAACTTGGCTAGGTACCTCTGCTCTACTATCCGAACATATCGCATCCTCGACTTAAATATGGGAAAACTGAGCTTTATTCTCTGAATCAAGTGGTTCATCCTCAGCAGCATCTCTCCTCGTCAGTGTCCTGTCGTTTCTGTCTCTCTGGAAGCAGGACGGGAAATTGTTTGATACTCTTGTTATAACACATCCCCTCCATCGATCCTCACTTTTCTACCTATACATTCCTTCTACAACATGTCTCCTTGCTCCGTAATCCCTATCGACAAGGACTGGAGGTTCAAACAAGCCGACAAGGAGCACAGCAAGTTCCTGCCCGTCGCCCAGTTCCCTACCAATGTCCACCTAGACCTCCTCCACCACGGCTTGATCCCCGATCCCTTTATCGGCAAGAACGAGCTCGACGTTCAGTGGGTTGGCGAGGCCCAATGGACTTACAAGACTACCTTCAAAGGAGCCAGTGTTCCCAAGAATGGCAAAGCCGTCCTGGCCTTTGACGGTCTCGACACCTTCGCCACTGTCAAGCTCAACGGCAGCACTATCCTTGAGGCAGACAACATGTTCATCCCCGAGCGTGTTGAAGTTACGTCTTTGCTAAAAGAGGATGATAACGAGCTTGTCATTGACTTTGACAGTGCTTACCTCAGGGGGTGGAAGCTAGTTGAGAAATATCCCGATCACAAGTGGGGGTGCTGGAACGGTGATAACTCGAGACTGGCCGTGAGGAAAGCGCAGTATCACTGGGTGAGTTATCTCGGTCTGTAGCGTCTGGTCTTGGAAACACTTTACTTACTAGTTGCATATAGGGATGGGATTGGGGCCCGACCCTACTGACCTGCGGTCCCTGGAGGCCAATTAACCTGGAGATCTTCGAGAGCAGGCTGGCAGATCTCAACATTCAGTCGACTGTTCCGGAGGACCTCAAGTCTGCCGATATCGAGGTTACTGCTGAGGTCGAGGGCAAGGCAGACAAGGTGCGGTTCGATATTTCTCTCGATGGCACGCAAGTTGCTTCGGAAACTGTCCAAATCAGCTCTGACAAGGCCACGGCCTCTTTCACCCTTGAGAATCCTTCACTCTGGTACCCTATTCGATATGGCAAACAACCCCTGTACCTGGTCAAGGCTACTCTTATTGCCGGTGATAGCGAGGAAGACAAAGTCAAGAAGAGGATCGGCTTGCGCAGAGCTGAGCTCATCCAGCGACCACTTAAGGGCCAGCCCGGCAAGAGCTTCTTCTTCCAAGTCAACAACATACCCCTTTACTGCGGTGGCAGCGACTGGATTCCTGCCGACAACTTCATCCCTCGGATCACCAAGGAGAGATACTACGACTGGATCAAGCTTGTGGCCGACGGCAACCAGTTCATGATCCGCGTCTGGGGCGGCGGTATCTACGAAGAGCAAGCCTTTTACGACGCCTGCGACGAGCTCGGCATTCTCGTATGGCAAGACTTCATGTTCGGCTGCGGCAACTACCCTGCCTGGCCTGCCCTTCTCGAGTCCATCGAGCGCGAAGCCTACGAGAACGTCAAGCTTCTGCGTCACCACCCTTCCATCGTCATCTGGGCCGGAAACAACGAAGACTACCAGTACCAGGAAAGCGTCAGCCTCACCTACAAGTACGAGGACAAGAACGCCGACAACTGGCTCAAGACCGACTTCCCCGCCCGCTACATCTACGAGAAGATCCTCCCCAACGTCTGCTCTGAGCTCATCCCATCCACTTACTACCATCCGGGCTCACCCTGGGGCGACGGTGTCGACACACACGACCCTACCGTGGGCGACATCCACCAGTGGAATGTGTGGCACGGCACCCAAGAAAAATGGCAAAACTTTGACAAGCTCGGCGGCCGCTTCGTGTCCGAGTTCGGCATGCAAGCCTTCCCCAACGTCAAGACCATTGACGCCTACCTGCCCCTCGGCAAGAGCGATCCTGATCGGTACCCTCAATCCTCAACCGTGGACTTCCGCAACAAAGCCGACGGGCATGAGCGGCGCATCGCGCTCTACCTAGTGGAAAACATGCGCTACGGACCGGACCCGCTCGAGCAGTTTGTGTATGCCACCCAGCTCATGCAGGGCGAGTGTCTGGCCTCAGCCTACCGGCTCTGGAAGCGGCAGTGGAAGGGCCCCGGCAGGGAGTACTGCGGCGGCGCGCTGGTGTGGCAGATCAACGACTGCTGGCCGGTCACGAGCTGGAGCATTGCCGACTATTATCTGCGACCCAAGATGGCCTATTTCACGGTCAAGAGGGAGATGGCGCCCGTGAGCATTGGTATCACCAGGACGGAGCACCGCCACCCCAGGGATCGGTACACGCGCGTGAACGTGGATGTGAGCACCAAGGTGGAGGTGTGGGCAAGTAACCTGACGCTCGAGGACCTCGAGGTCGATTGTCTTGTGAAGGCGTGGGACGTCGAGACGGGCGAGCAGACGTTCAACGAGATGGTCGCCGAGCGAATCGCCCTCCCGGAGAACAGGTCGACGGAGATTGACGCCAGGGAGGTGCCCGTCATCGCGGGCGGTGGAAAGGACCAGGAGAAGCGCACGGTTGTGGCGGCGTACTTGTTTGATTGCGATGGCAAGCAGGTTGCTAGGTATGTGAACTGGCCTGAACCGCTCAAGTATCTGCATTTGCAGAAGCCGAAGGAGCTTAAGGTGGTGCTGTCGGAGGATGGCACGGCGGTGGAGATCAGCGCCGAGGTGCCGATCAAGGGTCTGGTGGTGGAGACGGAGGACGATTTGGTGGTGTTTGAGGATAACTTGGTTGATATTGTGCCGAACGAGGTGGTGAGGATTGGGGTCAAGGGGGCTACCAAGGAGACGAAGCTCGAGGCTAGATACTTGGGGATGTTATGAACGGGACAAAGCGGGAAAAGAAATGTATTTTCAGAGGTGGATCATACCTAGATACATCTCACGGTGGTCACCTTTTATGTAAAATAGGAAGTACACGAAGTCGTCTCAATCACATAGACTTGCTTTCAGACTATATGCCTATGTATATATACAAGGAATGACCCGAACCTAAACGCCATCGCCAAAACCACTAAAAAAGAAAGAAGAAGCAAGAATTACAGTCCAATATTTTCCTTTCCTTTTTTGTCTTCACATCCGCCCCAGAACTTAGCAGCAGCCAGACTCACCGCTAGCCTTGGCCTCTTTCAACTTCTTTTCATCAACAGTAGTATCAAGACCACCCTCGACCTTCTCATTAGGGCCAGCAATGAGGATCTTAATAACCTCACCCTCCTTAACCTTCTTGAAAGCCTCCTCAGCATTCTTGAAGGGAACAACGCCGTTGACGAGCTTCTTGACATCAACCTTGCCCTGCTCAACAAGCTGAATAGCCAGCCTGTAGTCACCGCTGCCGTAGCGGAACGAGCCGCTGGCCGTGACCTCCTTGATACAGAGCGCCATAATGGGGAAGGTGATGTTGTCCTTGCCCATACCGCCCTGGACGTAGTGGCCGCCCTGACGGACGACGTGAAGTGCCGCCTGGATGGAGGGCTCGGCGCCGCTGGCGTCGATGACGGCGTCGGCACCCTCGCCAAGGTCGGCGGCCGCGATGATGTTGCGCGCGTTCTCCTCGGGCGACACCCGCTGCGAGAGGTAGGTGTGGGTGGCGGCGAACGACTTGGCGAACTCGAGCTTGGAGGGGACAATGTCGACCGAGACGACCTTGGAGGCGCCGTAGGCCTTGGCAACGGCGGCGCAGAGGAGGCCGACGGGGCCGGCGCCCATGACGACCACGGTCTGGCCGGGCTGGATCTTGGCCTGCTTGGTGATGTGGACGGCGACAGCGAGGGGTTCGATCAGGGCACCCTCCTGGAGCGAGACGGTCTCGGGGAGCTTGTAGCAGAAGTCGGCGGGGGCGGTCCAGAAGCCGGTCAGGGTGCCGTCGTAAGGAGGGGTGGCGGCGAACCGCATTTCGGGGCAGAGGTTGTAGTGGCCGGAAAGGCAGTGGACGCAGCGGCGGCAGGGGTAGCCGGGCTCGAGGGCGACACGGTCGCCGACGGAAAGAGTCTTGACGGCATCGCCGACGGCAACAATGGTACCGGCGGACTCGTGGCCGAGAACCATGGGGTCCTTCACAACAAAGTGGCCGATAGCGCCATGGAGCCAGTAGTGGACATCGGAGCCGCAGATGCCGGTGTAGTTGACGGCGACGAGTACGTCATGGGGGGAGTTGATCTTGGGGACAGGCTTGTCCTGGAAGCAGACGTCGAGGGGCTTGTTAAGGACGAAGGAGAGGTTCTGGAGAGGGAGGAGTGATCAGTACTAGCTTCAGGGTGGAACAGGGTAAGGGGAAACTTACAGACTTGCCGTCGGTAGCCATTTTGAAGATTTGTTTAGTGGTGATCAGGGGACAAGGGGCACTATCTCTGTGGTGTTGTTGACGGAGGTGACCGAGGACAGAAGTTGGACGGAAAGACAAGATTGGAAGAGGAGAGCTACGAGGGAGGAAAAGATGGAGGGAACGGGGACAGGTTTAAATATGTCATCCTACCTATCATGATGTTAGTCTAACATGGCGGCTCGGAATCTTCTTTTACCCAGGAATCCGGTTAGCTACCTAGCTATGGGGTCCAGAGTCCAGATTCCAACAACGACTGTACCTATGCCTTGATGCTCTGTCTGGTCTGGCCACCCCTCCTGCTAGTTCATCGTGCGTGTTGCCGCATCGAGGAGGATGGAGGCTTTGAATGGGTTGTCATACGCTAGTGCGTGGAGCTGTGGCCGTCCTGGCAGCAGGGAAAAAAAGTCCAAACTGTCAGAGATCATGCCAGGCGAGTAGTACGCAGGGCGGGGATTCGTTACCCAGCACCCGCCTCAATGAAGATTGTCAAGATGCAGCAGAGCGACGGGATGCATGGAAGCAGCTGTGTTGGAGTTGTGTTGGGAGATTGCAGCAAGCACATTGGACGCCCAATTACCTACGCCATGTCATTGACGCTGTCTGGTCTGTTTGTTAGTGAAAGCGTTCCCGGAGCTAGGGGTGCCCTGCAGCGGGTTCAGGGGGGTGGCCGAAACAGAACCCCACACTCCCCTCCGCTCCACGCAGCCGCATTCCCATAGCTCCACATCTTTCGACTTTATCCAAGGCATTTAACCGTGCCAATCACCGACGGAGCGCCTGTCCAACAGTATCCGCCGGCATGGGCCAGACATGATGAGTCGGGCTCGTCTGGGTAGGAATTGATATCAGGTGAGAGGCGGAAACTTTTGGGATAAACTGATAATAGGATGCTTGGTGATATCCAAAGCCGTTTGGGCGTGACCGCGTATTCGCGAGGCGAAGTCGGAAAACCGGAGGGATCAAGAGGACATTGTGGGCTGATAGGTAAGAGAAGAGTCGGGCTATTACATGCGGAACAACCTAGGTCTCGGGAGTGTCCGCTGTAGCTCCAGGACATTGATATTGCGCAGCATTGCACGAGCTGGGCTTCAATATACTGGATGGGGGGCGGCGGGATGCAGGTTCTATATATTTAACATGATCTGCTTGCTGTACATCGTTGGCGGCAGGTTGACATTGCTATGGTGAAGACGTCTCCTTTCATCCCTTCTCGGGGATCATTACACCGGGAAAGCGAGCGCTCTGTCATCCCATCAAAAGCTCACCCGGGCCGTTAATGCACAGCGGATAGCTCGGGAAACACATCTGCATCCAATGTACACCAGATAAAAGGAAGCATTGCGAAAATAACAACGAAGTCCACAAAAAGACAATAAGGTTGACAAGGGCGAGATTCGAACTCGCGCCTATTTCTAGACCAGGAAACTCGGGATGAGTGAATTCAGGTGGACCTGAACCTGGCGCCTTAGACCGCTCGGCCACCTTGCCATCGATATTGTATTTTCATCGTGACAGTGGCTTTTGAGGACATTATGGAAGATGCTCAGCATACACTAGGTAGTAGCCACCACATACATAGACTAGTACATAGCTGAGGTGGGGCCGGGCGGTTTTTGGCGGGGTTTAAACTCTCAGTTGAAAATGCCAAGATCGGGTATGTTACTGACGTCGGTGTTCTAGGGCTGGCGTGTCTAGAACTAGAGTTCCAACCGAATGGGTAAGCCAAGCATCACGAAACGGAACATCCCGTCTTCTTTTCTTTTACCATAGAAGTGACTGTGAGTGACAAGGTGGGTTAGGATTGAATCGATTGAATCGCAGTTGATGGGATTGGGAGTTTTGGTATCGTGAATGCCACTAACACTAGGGCAGGTATCCTACGCCTTCGGATACCCGATTATCATCTCTTTGAAACCAACGGCCTGATGCACCATGTTTTGAGGCCCATAGCTTTTCGACTTGCCCTCGTCTCCCCTCTGAGGTCGCTCACCATCACCCATCATCACCTCTTCTTCACAAAATGCACCATGGCATCCAGCGCTAGAACATACAATGTGAGTCAACCAACCTTTCCCCGCTCCACAGAACCCCAAACACTCACTCACCATATCGTAGGACGCAATCGATGCGCTCAACTCCCTCCAGACCCCCTTCGCCGTCATCGAAGCCCGGCGCAAAGCGGGTATCCGTCCCGATGCGCACTCGGTAAAGGAAATGCGTGCCTACCTCGCCCGCATCGGCTACTCCTCCCAAGATCTCGATCGCCTCAACATCGTCCACGTAGCCGGTACCAAGGGCAAGGGCAGCACCTGTGCCTTCGTCGACTCCATCCTCACGCGTCATCAGCAGACTCACGGCGTTCCCAAGCGCATCGGTCTCTTCACCTCCCCCCATCTGATTGCTGTCCGGGAACGCATCCGTATCGACTCCAAGCCCATCTCCGAGGAACTGTTTGCCCGCTACTTCTTCGAGGTCTGGGATCGTCTCGAGACATCCAAGCTGGCTCAGGATGAGGTGGAACTGGGAAGCAAGCCCATTTACGCTCGCTATCTTACCTTGATGAGTTACCACGTCTACCTGTCCGAGGGCGTCGATGTAGCCATTTACGAAACTGGCATCGGGGGTGAATACGATGCCACCAACGTGGTGGACCGTCCCGTGGCCAGCGGTATCAGCACCCTTGGTATCGACCACGTCTTTGTCCTGGGTGATACGGTCGACAAGATTGCGTGGCACAAGGCGGGTATCATGAAGACAGGCAGCCCGGCATTCACGATTGAGCAGGTTCCCTCCGCAGCTCAGGTGCTCAAGGACAGGGCGGTGGAAAAGGGCGTGGATCTCAAGATCCTTGATGTTGATTCCAGGCTCAACGGCGTCAAGATCCGTCCCGATGCACCCTTCCAGAAGAAGAACGCAACGCTGGCTATCGCGCTCGCTGAAACTGCTCTCAAAAAGTTGGACCCTTCTTTCAAGCCTGGCAGCGACAGTTTATCACCCGAGTTTGTCCAAGGCCTCGAACAGGTTGTCTGGCGTGGCCGATGCGAGGTCAAGGAGGAGGACCAGGCTGTCTGGCATCTTGATGGCGCACATACCGTTGACAGCCTGAAGGTGGCGGGAAGATGGTTTGTCGAGGAGTGTGTCAAGAAGGCCAAGGGCGGACCCAAGGTGCTCATCTTCAACCAGCAAGGCCGGTCTGAGGCCGTTGACTTCCTTGATGGCCTTTGCAACACTGTCAAGAGTGCTGATCCGGAGGGAACTGGCTTTAGCCATGTTATTTTTTGCACCAATGTGACATATGCGGCGACTGGCTACAAAAAAGGTATGTTGTCCTGGGTCTTTCCATGATTTGCTCATGCTAACCTTCAATAGACTTTGTCAACCATCAATATAACCCCAAGGACATTGAAAACATGACACAACAACGAGTCTTCGCGGAGAGGTGGTCGACCCTCGACCCCTCTGCGAATGTCATGCTTATCCCCACTATTGAGGAGGCCATCAACAAGGCCAGGAGCCTGGTAGACACCACGGAAGGCGAACAGAAAGTGCAGGCACTCATCACCGGCAGCCTTCACCTCGTGGGTGGCGCGCTCGGCATTTTGGAAAAAGCAGATGCTCTCTGAAGGGGAGATGTGGTTCGGCAGCAGTTTTCAACATTTATTTTAGATATCCCTCCAATTTTCACATGGTATGTACAGGGTTTGGCATTTTGCTTCGCAGCATCTTTTCTTCGTTACAAACACAGGGAAATACAGGAAAAGTACAGGAAGATAGAACAAGGGGGTAAAAGGAAAAAAAAGCAAGCCAGTACTTAATATTCAACATACTCAACTGTCTTGAGAAGACCACCAAGAAGGTGGAAGCTTCCCGTTACAAGGACATTACACGTCTTGCCGTCCTTGCGCGCCTGCTCAGCGATCTTTTGAACCTGTTCCATGGCCGGCTCTACTGCGTTGTAGACCGAGGTCTCGGTCCCCGCACTAGCTTCCTGAACAATCTTCTGCCCCTGCAACTGCACCGCGAGATCTCTCTCCGGCTCACCCTCCGCCGGCGCCTTTTCCTCGTTCCTTGTGAGCACCGCGTAGGTGAACACCGGCGTCGTTGTCCCGCTTTGCTTCTGCGCGGCCGTAAGAAGAGCCCTCAACAAGACCTCCGGGTCCCTATCCTGCTGGTTGAACACCAAGACATTGACATCGCCCTCCTTCACCTTCCCAGCAAACCACTGTCCAACACCCGCCAGGCTATCCTCCGTATGCGCTCCATCAACAAACCACTCTGTCCCCTTCGAGTCTTTAAAAGACTCGCACCTGCCCTTAAGGCTAGCCTCCCTCAGACCCTTCTCAAACTCAGCCGGGATATCATCCAATTTCCAACCTTCCTCCCCAAAAGCCCCCTCAAACTTATATCCCACCCTGATTAAGTGCTCCCTCGCCGCCGCCACGGCCAACGCCATGTTATACTTTTGAAATGGCCCTTCCAACTTGGCCCCCTCCACGCCCTTCCACTTCTCAACCTGCCCATCCTCCACCTCCACCAGCCTCTCCACCTCCTTCTCCTGCGCTCTATTCCTCAACACCTCCATCACTCCTTTCTGGGCTTCCCCGTCCAGCCTCCTCGTAAACCCTTTGACCCCCTGCCTGAAAATCCCGCTCTTATTCCACGCAATTTTCTCCAGGGTATTTCCCAACATAGCCACGTGATCGATCCCCAGCTGCGTGACCACGCTAGCCGTCACGCACTGCGGGCTCAAAAAATTCGTCGAGTCGTATTCTCCGCCAATCCCACATTCAATCACCGCTTGCTGCACCCCCTCGCGGACAAAGATGTGAAAGGCCAAGATGGTCAAGAACCGAAAGTAAAACGGTTTCGTGCCGGGCCCGTCATACTCTGCCTCGGACTGAACCGGATCGCGAGCTGCTCGGGCGGCGGCCGACAGCCGGTCCCAGACTTTAAAGAAGTACAGCGCAAACTTTTCGCGGGAGATGGGCACGTTGTCGAGCTGGATCCGTTCGCGGACCGAGAGGACGTGCGGCGATGTGTAGGTTCCCACGACAGGCTTTTTGATGATGTGGGCACCACCACCGCCGCCGTCATGAAAAGAAGGAGGAGGGGGGTATTGGGAGATGATGGAAGATACTAGCGCCGACACGGACCCTTTACCCTTGGTTCCCGCTACGTGCACGCACTTGAGCCCCGTGGCGGCAAGGGATGAGGGCGTGTAGCCGGCGCGGGCGAGCCAGGAGAGCATTTCGGGGATTGCGAGGGAGTTGAGGTCCTTTTTGGCGGCAGGCTTCTTGTTTTGGGAGTCATTGTTAGTGTCGTCGCTACTACCGAAGAGGTTGACGATAGTGCGGTTGGATTGGAGTTGGGCGAGACGGGATAGGGCGTCGTCGTAGGTGCGCTGCGAGGAGACCATTGTGTAAGGTGTGGTATGGCAAGTGTGAAGAGGAGGTCGGAAGGTGAAGTGGTGGATGTTTGTTGTTGTTGGCTTGGCTGAAAATAGTTTTGCTCTTGTGGTGAGGCCAGTGAGCGAGTGGGAAGATGAAGTAGAGAAGCGGTTGGGTTTGTTCCGCCGAAAGCGGAAGCTGGAGAGTTGTCGCTGGTGGATAGGTCGAAGTGAGTGTAGAAATCGACGAGACATTTATCGCTCAATTATCCGGAAGTTTTGCCAGGTGAAAGGCTCAGAGCCAGTGGAATACTCATATGGATGAAGTTGAGGGTATTGTTTCGTGATCTCGTATGGTGTGCTTGATTTCCATCCCGGCCCCTCACTGCAGAAGTCGCCGTCCCAGCGCCGCAACTCGGAGCCCGCAATTCGTCACGGCAACCAAAACACGGAAAATTTCCCCAATAATACGTTTTGTACAAAGCTTTGAGAATACCGAGGACGGAGAATATTGTTGAATGAAATCATGCTGCCTAATCGCCGAATTGAATCCATTTCATCTGACATAAACTACACGAATACAAAGTACGCACACGAATACAACCAGAAAAAAAAAAGCGCCTCTATTTTGTCTCGGATTGCCACTGTAACCTTAGAGTCTCACAACAAAGGGAATGCGTGCTAAGCCTACTACTCGTAACGAACAATCCTATTTACTCCACCCTCAAGCTCTGCAGCCTGGCCTCTGCCTGAATGACATCCAACGCCTGCTGAACCTCCAACACCTTCCTGACCTCACCGAGCCAATCCCTGCTGAGGGTCTTGGCCCAGCCCTTGAGACCGTTCATCTCTCTCGCCGCATTGTCGAGATCGCCCTCCTCAAGGTAGGTCTGAGTGCGGGTAAGGATGCTCTCAACATCGTCACCAGCCGCAAGGCCCTCCTTCTTGAACATCAGCTTGCTGAGGACATAGCTGGAAGCGTGGCTGGCGACACCGGCATCCTCGGGGAGAAGAGAAGCCTTGCGAACCTCGGTAGTAACGCGGCGGAAGCGGTCGATGAGCTCGGCGGTGGTAGGAATGCCACGCTGGTAAGCAGTGGGGTTAATGGAAGCGATAGCAGCATCGACTACGGGGTCGTCGGCAGCAATCTCCTTCAAAGCAACGAGCTCCTTGATGAAGGGACGGGGGTGGTGAGCGTCCTCAAGGCTGGCACGAACGGCATCAACAGCAACATGGAGCTGCTGAGTGCGGAGGTTGGTATCGACAACCTCGTTCAAGCCAGAGGTGAGCCTCTCAAGCTCGGCAACAGCCTTGTGAAGCTCGTTAAGCTTGCCAAGACGCCCATCGCGCTCCTGCTCAACGTGCTTCTTGATGTTCTCGGTAAACTGGCGCTGAAGCTGGATGGCCTGCTCAAGGAGACGGTTGTTGAGCTTCTCCTCGGCAATCTGATGCTCGCGGTCCTGAATCAGGTGGACCTTCTCATCGTAGCTCTTCTTGAGGCGGGTGATCTCCTCCTCAAACTCGCGACGCCAAGCAGCCTCCTGAGCGGCCATGGCGGACTCAACCCGAGAAACAAGCTCGTTGGCGGCCTTGTCGAACCCATCAACGCGTGCCCTAACCTGCTTAGCAGCGTCGGCCTCAACCTTGGCCTTCATCTCATTGATCTTGTCGGCAACCTTGGAGAGCTCGTTCTTGGCCTTGCAGATGGTGGGGGCGTACTTCTCGTTGGCGTTGTCGTGGTTGATAACGGTGATGACGTCGTTCAACATCTTGACGAGGTCCTGGACAATGGGGTCGGTGGCACCGTTGACATTCAAGGGGTCAATGGGCGAGGCAGGGGGCCAGCGAGAGGGCTCGTCGACCTCGGGAGCCTTGAAGGGCTTCTTCACGGGGGTGCCGGAAGCATCGGTGGCGGCGGGAGCAGGAGCAGGTTCGGCCGGAGTAGCGGTGGTGGTGGCCTCGGTCTTGGGAAGCTCAGCAGTATCCTCCTTGGCAGCAGCAACAACGGCGGGCTCAGACTTGGGGACAGCGTCCTGGGCGGCAGCGCCAGCCTTCTTGATAGAGCTAGACTGACGACCGGCAGGCTCGCCACCAGAGGCAACGCGCCACGAGGCACCACTCTGGGCAGGGACCTTGACCTGCTCACCGGAGTCGCGAGGACGACCGGTCACCCGGCTGACCACATCGGGGAAGCGCTTCTTGAAATCCAACTCCTCCAAGTACAGAACAGCCTGCTCGCCATAGGGGATGTACTCGGTGAAGAAGTCGTGGAAGGCGTCGTTGATGCGCGAGTAGTAGACGCCACCACCAAAGGCGATGGCGCCAAGGATGGTGAGGGACAGGAAAAAGTTGCGCAGCCTGCGGAAGAAGCCCTTTTTCTTGCGGGGAGTAGGAAGAGTAGGAGGGACGACGGGCTCCTCGGCGACGGGGGGGATGACAGTGGCCTCGGGGGTGGGGGGCGTCAAGGGGGTGGCCTCGGGAGGGACGGTGGACGTGGGCTCGACCTGGGGTGACGCAGGAGGAGGAGTGGATGGAGAAGTCAAGGTCTCGGAGGCCGGGAGGACGGCGGGCTGAGAGGGCTCAGGGACAATGGGCTTCTTGTCGTCGGCGAAGAAGCGCTAGATGGGAGCGAGGGAGTTGGGCGTTAGTTACATAGTATGATGGGTGATAAAGGCAGGCAGGCAGGTTCATAGGTACCGAGTCAGGGCTCGGGACGGGGAAGGCGAGGAACTGAAGCTTCGCAGAAGTAGATGACCTCATACCTGACCGGACACGGCCGCACGGCGCACGACGGTTGCTTGCCATTGGCGGCCAGCAACAGCGGCAGAAGGCCTGCTGCCCAGCGCCCTCACGGATCGCAATGATGTGCGCAACATGAGGGGGATGGTATAGGGCCTTGAGGCGCAACTGAGGATATGGGATGGGCGGAGGGGGGTGGTGGTTGAGTGCAGCGGAGATGTCCCGGGCCTGGAATTGCGAATTGGAGGCTCAGACGGAACGGACTGGGCTCGGAGGGTCTGAGCAAAAAAGAGCTCCCGGTCGGCAAAGTTCCGGGACGACGCGGGCAGGCAAGAGTTGGCAGCCCACCACAGGTTCAAGTTACACTAGTGTACTGTACTAGTACTTACTAGCTTCAACACAGTGTGCCGCTTTCCTTCAGGCTTCCAGTGGTGCTGCACCGACTTCTTGGCCTTGCTTCCATCCGTTTGTGGCCATTTTCTGGGCCATTTCTAAATCCAATGAATGATCCCGGTCTTTGGGTGGTCCCCCACCCATTCAAGGTCAGTTCTCTTTCTTACAAGAGCTATTTAGCTATCTAGAGATAGATAGGTATGTATGGCTGCACACTGTACGCAGATACACATCAAGCCTGTGTGGTACCAACACAGTAGTAGAGATGCAAAACACTTCTTTGCCAAAGCATACCTCTCAAAGGCAGTAAATATCTTTCAAATTGCCCCACGCTCAAAGTAAAATCAATAGCATAATTACCATTAACCACGCGCGCAACACCCCTCCTCCAGCAGGCTGTTGCCTCTATCTGCATAGTGTACAACATAAGATGGACCTACCAGTATCATGAATCATGTCCATAGGGGCAGCTGATGTGCTTCACCAGTCCTTCGACCGTGGAAGGGCACCCCGTCCAAAGAAAAAGAGGAACAAAATACCCATCGACCAGAGCCGGTAGTGAAACAGAACGATGTCATGCAGCCGCACGACAGCCCAGTCTCACATTAGAAACCCCACCCATCTCCCCTGGCCTTCTCTTTGTGCAAAGGGACCCAGGTCTGCCCTTGCGCCGGTCATTCACGCATCGACCCTTCGACACCGGCACGCTCCCCATCCACTCCTGTAGATGCACCGGGTATTTCTTCCATACGTAGCTCCCAAACTCCGAAACAGTCCCCGTCACAGGCTCAGCAAGCACAAGGCCCTCCAACCTGGGTGTTGGCCCCCTCGGGAGCTAGACTGACACCCGGTCGTTGGCCAGGGCGAGCATGCCTCGGTCCAACCTGGTCGAGGGGCAGCTTCTTCGCAATCTCGGTGAACAGGTTTTGCACGTTCTCGGCAGTCTTGGCAGAAGTCTCGAAGAAGAGAAGGCCGGCCTCCTTTGCATATGCCTGGGCGTCGGCCGTCTGAATCGCACGCTTATCGGGTTGCTCCTGGACGAGATCCAACTTGTTGCCGGCAAGAGCGATAATGATATTCTCGTTTGCTTGGCGCTGAAGTTCCTTCACCCACGACTTGGCCTTGTCCAGAGATGCCTAGAAGGGGGTTACGTCAGCTCATATCGCGGGCAGAGACAAGGACCTCGAGAGGCCACATACCGCCTGTGTGATATCGTAAACGACTACTGCACAGTTGGCATTCCTGTAGTACATGGGCGCTAGAGACTTGTAGCGCTCCTGGCCGGCGGTATCCCAGATCTCGAACTTGACCGTTGTGTTTTCGTCGAGAGCAATGGTCTGTGTTAGGAAAGCAGCGCCAATCGTGGATTCTCTGTACGAGTCAAACTGGTCCTGGATGGAGGTCAGTTGCCCGCTTCAATCCCATCAAGCGCCGAGTAGGAGCTGGGCGTACCTTGACGAAGCGCAAGACTATCGAGCTCTTTCCAACCGCCGATTCACCTGCATGCAGGTCAGCATCAAAGCCCCCCTCCATGAGCCCATCATCATTGTTACGAACCCAACAATACCAGCTTGAACTGGGCAAAGCGGTTTCCCATGCCAGGGCGCGCGCCGGGAGGTCCACGAGTGGCCATTATGGACAGATGATGTGGTGTGGTGACGTTGATGTGTAGTCGGGAGATTAGACGGGGTTGCTGGCGAAGCGGGTTGCGGCGCTACCGGGGGGCCAGATTAATTAACCAAGAGATAAAGGGCAAAGAGGTGTCAGGTGCTTGATTAGTCGTTTGCAGGTCGCCACTACAAAGGCTGGACGGGAACGTGACGCGCGAAGCAGCAAGTTTGGGTATCGGGTATGGAGTCGTTGAAGCAGAAAATCGAGGAAAACAGTTGTTGTTGAGTTCAAGACAAGAAGTTTGTTGGTGTTGAAGGTGACGGAGGGCGGGAGGAGCAGCACGCCGCCGAAAGGAAGGCCAGGGAACAGTTCAGTTTGGGAGTGCCTGGTGGTGGTGCAGGTGGACGGGATGACTGGGGGGCCCGTGGACGGATTCGCTTCAGTGTTTGGTGTTTGATGGACAGGGCAGGGCGGCCGTCATTAGGTTCTGGTGATGACGGGGAAGGTCAGGTCGCTGGAAGCACTCTGACTACGGCAGCCCACCGCTGCAGTAATCCACTGGCGGGAGCCCTCAGCAGGAGCAGGGCAGGTTGTGCTGCAGGGCGGTGCAAGAAATGGCACGTGCACTCGGGTCTTTCTTTACACGTGATTGGGCCGGGAGAGAAAGGGTTGCGTCACGCCTGGCTTTGATGATGACGGCTGGCAGGGACGGAGCTGACTGAAAGGGGCAGGCGGGCATTTCCTGGTTGTGTGTGTGTGTGAGTGGTGATGTTTTGGGGGCAAGCACTTTCAGCGGCTTCGAGTTTCATCGAGGTGATCAGGTCTCTGGATGCTAGTGAGATACCTCTACCTCTAGAGGTATGGTAGGTGCCCGGGCAGTGGCCACAATGTTCGGCGGTGGGATTCCAACTGAACAAAGTGTTCCACTGCATCAATGTTCGGAATGAGTCAAATAACAAATAACAAGTAACAATCTGAGGCAAATGAGGCAAGCAAATCGAGTAACAACGCAAATAATCTGGTCGGACCCACTTTAATTGCTTATTTGGCTCAGATTGCGTACTATAGCTTGTAATATTTAAAGGGGTAGATTTTGGCCGGGAATCCAAGTCTTTCTAATATCTAGATCCTAATACCGTATCCGTTCAAATGGGGTATAAAAAGTCTACTCCTGACGCTATATTAGCAGGGTTCTAGCGCTCGTTTGAGGGCGTTGGGGGGTACGCACTAGCCTTATTAATTCGCTTAATATATAATAATATTAATATAGTATTAAGAAGACTTAAAATTAAATTACTTCTATACTCCCTAATTGCTAGTTATATATATTAGGCTCCCTTACCCTCCCTCTAACTTTTATTATTACTCTTATTATCCCTCTTTATTACTCTCTACTATTAAAATAGCGGAGAGTACCTTTACTATTAACTCCTCTTTAGTAAAAGTAATTAATTCCCTTACCGCCCCTAGTACTTTTACCGCTTTACAAAGGACTCCCTAATAATAAATCAACGTCTTTCAACGTATTAAAGAGCTTATTATTAAACCGAAGGATAAAGTATATTACTCTAGTACTCCGCTAGAAGTATTAAAATTAACCGTTAGTATATATATTGTATAAATACCATTATAAATGAGTAAGTTCCCCTATATTAAATATAAGAGGAAGGAGTATATAATTGATAATTAATTAGAGCGCTAGCGGCCTTGTATATTACTGATTAAATATTATAGTATCTAATTCGTTGAAATTAAAAAGGAGGTAAAAGATAATAGTATTATTATTATTAAGACTATCGGGTAGGTATAGTCTTACGGTAATTATAATTAAATATATATTAGTATTACTATAAACTCTACTATTAATTACCTTAAGTAAATCTATAACGTTAAGGGATTTATTAAAGAAAATACGCCGCTAATTAAATACCTAAAGATTTTAATTACTTAGAGTATATATTAATAGATTGTAGAGGCTTACGGATTAGGGCGCGTTTTAATCCCCAAACCTATTATTAATACCTTCAAAGAATTGTTATTTAATTAGGTTATTAACTATAATATACCTTTTAATAGTATTACTAATCCGAATTTCCGCTAACTCTTATCCTTTTTTAACCCGAAATTAGTAATGAAATTATTACCCAAAAACGGTAATATAATTAAGTTTTAAGTCGATTATAATTATTTGAAAGAATCCTAAAATATTAGAAATACATTATTAGCGAGCTTATTTAAGAAGTACGTCTCCTTTAATCTTTAAACTTCTAATAACGGTTATATTCTATTGGGGGTTTGTATTTACTATATTAATAAGGATAGAGTATTATACAATTACCTCCTTGGTTTATATTATATAAGGGGAGGGTATAGCAGTATTAATATTATATTAATTATTCTAAAAGTTTTTAATCAGTTTAAATTGTAAGACGAAAGTTAAATTAATTATTTCTAGTATAATAACGTAAAGTTAAACAATATTTATATTATTTACTTTATTAATAGCTTCTATTTTAATAATAATTTCCCTATCCCCGAATTTAAGACTGAAGAGTATCGAACTTACTTCCGCTTACATTATTACAATTATATTCTAAACCTTACAGCGAAGGCTTTTTTAGAGGGGGACTTTTATAATTTTATTAGGTCTATATTCGAGTATAATAAGGAGGTAATAGTAAAATAGCGGAAGCGGGGCCCTATTAGCAAATTATATAATATAGTTACTTTTATATACTGCTCCCCCTAGTATAGAAATAAATTCGTTAATATTATAAAAGGGAATTTAACCGCTTAAAAGAAGGAAAATTTTAGTAATATCTTTATTAATCCTAATCTTTATACTACTAATCTTATTACTAATAATAATATTTGCTAGAATTTTATCTTCTTTATAATTGAAAGGGTATTTAAATTGAGAGATACGGTTGACTATTTCTACATTTAGAGCCGCCGTTAGTATAATTCTAATAAAAGAATACCGGTTAAAGATATTCTAATAAGTAAGGGTTAGGAAATATTTAATACCGCTCTCTATTTACTCGAACTATTTAAGAAGACTACTAAAATATTTAAATAAAAGAAGCCTTACTTCCCTATAGTATTCGCTACCCTCTACCGCATTATTAATAATTTTAAAATAGAGCGTAACCACTATAATAAGAAGATTGTAGTAGATCGGTTTAAAGGACTAAATATTTCGGATTTATATAATAAGGGGTAAGAGGATAACGGCGAAGACTTCGATAGTAGTAATAATACGCTTCTTTAGAATATTTCTAGTAATAACCAAAGTTAGAATCGACCCTACTACGCTATAGTTCAACTATACTATTTTAATAAGTATAAATTAAATTTACCTAGTATTTAACAACGTAATAATTATTAATTAATAATCTCCTCCCTTCTTACTAGTAATTAAATTCGCCGTAGTAATCCCTCTCGCAATAGTCCCTCCTATAATAATCCCTCCTATAGTCAACCTCCCTATACCAATTAATACTCTAATAATTAATACTCTAATAATTAATACTCTAATAGTCAATTATTTAATAATTAACCTAATTAATTTCCTTTTCTTCCTACTTTAACTAACGCTAGTTATTTATTTATCTGGTAGAATATTAACTATATAATCGCTAAATTCGAGAAATATATAGAATTTATAGGTAAATTATTATTATATTAGATTACTATAGCTCTTTATTCTAAGTATAAGAAGAAATATTTCAATATAAAACTATTATATAAGATGGGTAACAATATTATCCGTCAATTTAAAATTATTTATTATAAATATTATTTAGTAAAAGATATCCGTTAAAAGAATAATTAGTACTATATTAATTACTATATCCTCGACCCTAATATTCTTACTATTTATACAATACTAGTTTCCCCCCCGCTAGAGTATATATATAGTTAATTAATACCCCTAGGGTATTACAATACTATATTATTACCGCCGTTATTTAAAAAGGAGTTTACAATTTATTTTAAGGAGAAGTTTAAATAAGTAATTAACCCGCTAGAGTAGTAAGTTAGAAAAGAAGGGAAATTCCTATATATATTAAAGCTAACGTTCGATTATTTATTTATCCCCTCAATATCTAACGAATGTGAGAGGGCATTTAGCTTAGCGAAGTAGGTATTGGGTATATAGAGAAACTATCTATAGTACGATACAATTAATAAGCTATTAAATTTAAAGATATAGAACCGTTTGGATAATTGATTTCCTTTATCTTTATTATAGTATTTTTCCCCGTATTTTTGTTGTATAATGGTGCCGATACGGCTAATAGAAGTGTGTAATTACTAGTATGCCGGGACGGAAAAATAGGTATCCGAGATTGTAATTGAAATGAGGGAAATGATTTTAGCTGTAAAATAAGGCAAATCGGGGGATTTGAAACAATTTGAGGCAAATCGACCGAAATATTTTATTTATTTAACTTATTCCGAACGCTGCACTATATTATATTAGGGTCTAATCTCTTATAATAGACGTTTAACCTTAGTTAGCCCCTATCCACTTCCCCGCCACCCTGTAGCATAGTCGTTTTGGACCTATAGGGCCAAATAGTATAATATTAGAATTACGTCTATATATAGTTTGGACGAAAGTACTTAATATATATAAGAAATATCCTATCTTAATATTAATACTTGATAATTATACTATTGTAAAAATTACAATCTCGACTAAACAAATCGTTTGAGGATAATACGAATAATATATCAATTTCTCTAAATTTTAATTTATATTTCTATAATACTTTTATTACTTACTAATACTATAGGGGTAGTTTTTATTGTACGTAGAATTATATTCCAAAGGATTGTATACTCTTTCTTTATAATTTTACGTTATATATATACAAAACTTTATATATATAATAGAAGGCTATAGATTTAATACTAATAAGATAATAGAGCTATTTTATTATATTACTAACTTTCGGTAGCTTAATATATTTCTACTTCCTAAATTAGCTCTCTAAAATTAGATTGCCTAGGGATTGCATTATATAGTATTTATTAATAATAAAGGTATATAATACTATTTTATTAATATAATTATTATTTATTTATTAAATTAGGGGTTATTTATAGGTTTAGATTAATATTATATAAAATTTAATTAAATTAAGTCTATTTATTATATTATTTACCAACGTAGTAATACAATTTTTATTATTTGTATAGGATATAGTAAGAGTATTATCTTCTAAATAGTATTTATTATTTTAGTTAATCAAATTACTATTTAAATTATACTATTTAATTAATTTAGTAAAGA